GTCTCCGCCAGGCACCTTGCGAGTGGCACGACACACTGAGGACTACACTTGCGGCTCTTGGGTTTACTCCTTCTACTGCTGGCCTGTCACTGTTTCTACGCACCGACACGTCGCTGCCGCCGTTCTACGTTCTCGTGTACATCGAAGACCTCGTCTTTGCCACTGCTGACACTGAGGCACTTACCCTTGTGAAGTCAGAGCTACAGAAGAGACACACATGCACTGACCTGGGTGAACTGCGCAACTATCTTGGCTTGCAGATCATCCGGGACAGAGCACGGTGCACCATCACACTGACTTAGTCACACATTGTGCACCAGGTCCTTCAGCGCTTCGGCTTCCAGTTCTCCTCGCCACAGCCCACTCCTCTGTCTACCGGCCACTCGCTCTCAGCTCCACCTTCGGACGAGTCCGTAGAGCCGAGTGGTCCGTACACAGAGCTTGTGGGTTGCCTCATATACTTGATGACGTGCACACGACCTGACCTCGCGTACCCTCTCAGCCTCGTGGCTCGCTACGTGGCTCCCGGTAGGCACCAAAAGGTGCACTGGGATGCTGCAAAGAGGGTACTGTGTTACTTGTGCAGTACATCGGGCATGGGGCTCGTGCTTGGAGGACGGGGTCCAGTTGTCCTCACTGGACACGCAGAAGCCTCTTGGGTTGACGACTTGGCTACACAGTGGTTGTCACAGGGTTACACCTTCAGCCTTGGTTGTGGCTCTGTTTCCTGGCGGTCTACGTGCTTGTCTTCGGTTCTCAGTTCTAGTTGTGAGGCTGAGATCTACGCAGGGGCCATGACTGCACAGGAGCTACGCTGGCTCACCTACCTGCTGACTGAGTTGGGAGAGCAGCCTCGTTCGCCTCCAGTTCTGTACGTATTCAACAAGGCCATGATTGCCTTGTGTCAGGAGCACAGACTGGAGCACAGAACGAAGCACATCGCTCTGCGATACTTCCTTGCTCGAGAGTTGCAGCAGCGTGGCCAGCTTCGTCTTGCGTACGTGGCCACTAGGGCCAACACTGCTGATATATTCACCAAGGCACTTCCACCTGGTGATCATCAGCGCTTCTCTACTATGTTAGGCCTTGTGTCTACTTTGCCTCACATGCTGACTACGTGACTTTGCTTGTGCTCAGACTGTGTGGTTAATTTGTGATCCACCCTGAGCTTGCTTTGCTTTTCTTGACTGGTCTTGTGACCAATTTTTCTCCCCCACTTTGCCTATGGGGGTGTGTCAGAATGTTATAATGCTTACTGTTGTATAGGCTATAGTGGGGTAGCCCATAAGGGGTACAACCCAATTAGGGTTAGTACTTGTACCCAACTCGCTCATAGTTCATTCATCCTCGTTCATTCCTTTGACATGTCTCTCATGATAATCAGCAATGTCAGTCGTTAGCAGCAGGTTAGCAACTTGTTGAATGTCTGAGAATACTATTATCAACGCCGATGATCATGCAGCAATGTGAGCATGATGCTCGGCGATGTCTGTCATAGATATCAGCAACGTCTATCACGACCATCAGCAGTACCAACCTGGATTTTTACCAGTGTCCTGGATCATCATGCTCATGCAAAAGTGCCTTGGGAGTCAGCATGCAGCGAATCGGATCGCAAACCTCATTTATGTGCTCTCACATTTCGCAAATCGAGTTAGAATTTCGCTAATGCCGGAATTGCTTGTTTGTCCCTCGCTCCGTGATATGGACCCTTGCAGCAGGACAAAGTGATCTCATTCAGAACTCGACCAACCGAGATTATCCTGAATCTGTTCAAGTGTCTACGCATTTCAAGGAAATCGTTCATCTGGTGCGTTTTTCCTGCATTCACCTACATTCGTTATTCTCCATCCAAACAAGTGGTGTCGAGGTAGAGATGTCTAACATTCTATGCAAGTTCTGTCACTGGTTGATTCAGGAAATGGATACGAACGAGACAGTGCGAGTATCCGAGTTTGCTATAGTGCGTAAGACCTATCGCAACGACAGAATCAAGCATGATGTCGATAATGATGACAGCTCATTTAGAGAGATCGCCATACTGTTGAAGAATAAAGGGATTGACCTCAGCAATGAATGTCTCCACGTCCTTCAGGTTCGGTGTTTCTGTAGTTGATTTGTGTCTTATTGGCTATTTACAATTATCTACAAGTAACACAGGTTGTGAGTTACAACTGACTCCTAACAAGTGTGGAGGATTGCAGGGGGAGTTGAAGCGGGTTGCGACGATGACACCTAAGGCACAGCGGCCTCATGAGGAGGGATTGTTGGAGTACCTTGATAAGGTGACTGGAACGAACAAGTACATCGAGCAAATCAAGGAAACAGCCCAACGGTAATGTATTCTCATATATGCACAGATAGTACAAGAGTCGCATTTATTCTTCCATCATTCGATCGTGCTGCGTTTGTTTCTAGAGAACTTGCCTTAGACTCGTCTGCCATTATCCTCCTTGACTACTTGCCTCCTTGTCTGCCGGCCTCTCTGCCTGTCTGTTTGTGTGCAGGCTTGAAGATCTGAATGGGAGAAGGGTGGGCTCCATAGAAAAAATGCGATTAGCAGAGAGAGAAAAGGACCAGCAGGAGGTGAGTGCATAGATAGAGCATGCATTCTAGGAGACGCATAGAGATTGCACTATGCGAGCAGCATAGAACTTGCAATGCAGGAGAAAGAAACACAGAGCAAGCACTGCAGGAGAGGCAGAGAGCATGCACTTTAGGAGAAACACAGAGCAAGCACTATAGGAGAAAATCAGAGCATGTACTGTAGGAGAACCACAGAGCATACACAATAGGAGAAACACAGAGCATGCACTATAGGAGAACAACGACAGAGATGTAACAGATGTCTCAACTCCCTTTTGTCACCGATTTCCTCAACCCCGATCAGGACACACTCCCCTCCCCCACTTCGGATGAGCACTTTAAGTAATATCTTTCTTTAGTACAGGTAGCGAGGAGAGTGGTTACAAGTGTTTCCTGCTGAAGTAGGCACAACGAACTCAGCTGAGCATGATAGGGACATATGGTCTTCTTGTTATCCACTCCCATATCCTCAACCAACCCCACTCCTTACATGCCCTCAACTCCAGGAGCAAAAACAAGCGGCTGAATCTCTTCTGCTGAAAGAGGCGTAGCACACCCAGCTGACCATGGCAGGGCTGTATTTGCGGATGCAGGAAGTTGATCACAAGAGGAAAGCATATGACCGTCAGGCCACATATCTTGAGAGGGTGGTTAAGACAGAAAGGTGAGACTGGGAGCTGTTGTGGGGTAGAGGATTGGCTGGTTGATTGGTCGGGACACGGACGTGAGTGTGATGTACGTAATGTTGCAGGAGAGGGACCGCTTGAAAAAGGAGGTTAGCATCAAGATTGCGAAACTCAAGGGGTGGAGTGGTTGCGACAGAGAGGCGAGGCATGGAGCTTGAGATGAGTAGGAGGAGGATTGGATGGGAGAGGTAGAAGGCCGGACGAGAGGAACAGGCCGGGGCTGGTTGGTGGAGGTTGGGAACGAGGCATGGGGCTGGAGAAGGGTGAGGGGTTGGGTAAACTGGGGAACGAGGTGAGTGAAGGAGGTTGGTGGTGGGTGATGAGAGTGTGTGGGCTGGGAGAGGGAAGGTTCAAAGAAGAAAGCATCTTGATATGTTTTTGACACCTCATCACACGGGACTTCATGACCCTAGCTAGTGGGGAGTGGTAGGCATGTGAATCTCATAGCTTCTGTACTTGACCTGTATTCATCCCGTGCTTGGTGAAAAAGTTTGAAGAATGGAAAGAGGCCGTATCGGATCATAGGAGCCTGAGAAAGGAAAACCTTCTTGTCTTGTATTCAACGTTGAGAGCTCGAGCCTGTGGACAGTAGCACCGTTGGATGCAGGAAAACGCTGTCTTTACCTTTTAAAAAGATGAAGTGCAGAACAGACGCGTATGTGAAATGCACAGAGGAGCTTGGTGTGAGTAAATAGTTGGCTCAGAGAAGAAACCTTTTGGACCCGAATTCCATTTGCTTCGCTTTGTCAGGCTTGGCCCTAGGATTCCCGTTGTGTGTGTTGCTAACTGCTAACGTTGCAAGCCTTCTTAATAGGCCCTCGTTGCAGAGCTGAAGGCTGCCAATGATGAGGGAAACGCACTGGCAAATAAAGTGCATGCCTGCAAGACAGGCAAGCTGGGTGACTGAACTCCGAGGATGGAAGGTATGAGTGGGATGGAAGGTATGGGTGGGATGGAAGGTATGAGTGGGATGGAAGGTGTGAGTGGGATGAAAGGTATGAGTGGGATGGAAGGTGTGAGTGGGATGGAAGGTATGAGTGGGATGGAAGGTATGAGTGGGATGGAAGGTATGAGTGGGATGGAAAGGTCCGGATGCTGTGCATCTTGCTGCGAGTAAGAGCAGATGCATGAGGACGAGATGTCTGTTGTGAGGATGAGTCGATAATGTGAGAGTAATTCTGGTATTAAGACGGCTTGTTTGTGGCATATTTACCCACCACCCACTCACACGACAGCCATTATCTTTTTTGTCCTCATTGCGCCTGCAGAAGAATAAAAGGGACAAGCAGAAGAAAATCAAGAGCCTGAGCAATCTGAGAGCAGGCACGAGCAGCATGGATAGGAAGCGGTGCAGCGAGGACGAGAAGGAGCAGTGCTTGCAAATTAAGGAGAAGGAACTGCTTATGCAGATGCGTGTAACGCAAGAAAACTGTGAAAGATTGAGAAAGGTGTGTTTGAGGGAGAAGGGGGGAAAGAGGGGGGGGGGGGGGGGGGGGTGGGGGGGGAGGTGTACACGGTTGTTAGGTGGTTAATAGCATTGAACAGCATGAACCGTTAAGCCTAGAGTGAAACAAGAGAGGCAAGCTTGCGTTTGTGAGGTTACCATGCAAGCTCGCACCTTGTTCCTTTCCCTTCTCCCTATCATTTTCTCCGTCCCTCCCTACTGCCACCTTGCCTGCCTGCTATGTCTCGCATTTCTCCCTGCACAAGCAGGGAAGTGGGCTGCCCATGGAGAGGTACCTGACTTTAAATTCACCGCCTTATCCAACTCCCCCCACCCCCCTATTCCCCTATCCCCCTATCCTGGCTGCACCTCTACTGGCAGGTAGCGGAGCGCAAGCAGGAGGAGTGCAAGTACAGGCGGAGGGAGGCAGGTTTTGCTGAGAGCAAGTATGACAAAATCGACTCTAGATTGGTGAGATGCGACAGGGGGGATGAGATGGGCACAGGGGCGGCGAGATAGCTACAAGGAGAGAAGAGAAGGCCCAAAACCAGGTGATGACCATGACGAGGGATATGGGTAAGCGCGTGGATTTGAGCAGAGCCAAATGTGAATCGTCTTTATGAATTGGCTCTCCTTCCTTTCCTGCCGTTCAAACTGGATTCACACACCCACTCTGTTATGCACTAAGCTCGTCTTTCTATCTTGCCATTCCACTGAAAATGACAATGTCCCCACTTCTCTGCTTTGTTCTCTCTGACTTCACGCCTTCCAATTCTTCCCTTGGACACCGCCCAATTAAAAGAACACACGTTCGCAGCTTGAAGAGTTGGATTGCATTCGGCGAGCAATTGCAAGCCACTCAAGAAGGGCGTTTGGGGATGCAATTGGCATGTCACATCTCACAGTGAGTCCGTTCACCAAATCTCTGCCCTCAGCTTGTCACGCTTAAGCGTCAGCTTGTCAACCTTGAGCTATGTTGATGTTACTTTTGAGAACTCTCAAAAGCATCACCAGCTCGTCACGCTTGAGCGTTTATGCGATTCAGCCTCGTCAAACATCTGAATGCTAACAATTGTCACGCACTGTAACAGATATGCGAGCGTGTGTGGATATGGGTCAGGCAGCCCTTTCTCTCCACTCACTCCCACTTGTTTTTTAAAGTGTATGCATTTTTCCTTCCCTCCCCACCCCCTCCTTTGCAGCGTGCAAGAAAAGCGCGTGTCTGACGAAGACATTCAAGGGGCAGGCCTTCCTCACACTTTCACCACCGAAGCTTTGGGCGAGTGGCTAGACGCAGCAGGTGGGGAGTGGGATATTGAAGAAGGGGGCGAGGCTGACGCTACAGAGGAGAGTGAGCCTGCAGAGGGAGTTGAGCCTGCAGAGGGGAGTGAGGATGCGGAGGGGAGTGAGCCCGAAGCGCAATGCCAAGGAGTGGAGTCTACAGCAGCGACATGTGAACAGGAGAAGCGAGGGTTGGAGAGCCTGGTGATCTGGCTGTGCGGTAACTGCATGCGTGCAGGAGCTAGCCAAGATGAGATGGTGTCAAAGATGGACTCTTCGGAAGAAGAGCTCAAAACGCTCTGGGGAAACGTCAGCATGATATGCACTGATGAGTGAGTGAGAGTGCCTTTTGGTGTGAGTTTGTGGGTGGGGTAGCTGTGAGTGTGAGCGAATGAGTGAGTGTCGGTGTACGGATGTACTATCCAAGCAGATGTTTGCATGAAGGGAGGGAGAGAGTGCGAGCATTGGTTGTTGTAGACCTCGGTATGTGTAGGTTGATAGGTCCTCTGGATTCAGTGTGCTGGGTGTGTGTAGTCTGCTGGGACATGCCTATATAACATTAGCTCCAACTTCAGTCAGGAGGCACTACGTATCAACAAGAAAACCTTTTTTTCTGTTCTGAACTTGCTCAGGTACCACAAACAAGATGATGCCTTTTTCAAGGTGTTCTTTGAAGCAACAGGTGTGACACCAGAGAGGGATGCTGTGAAGCAGGAGCACAAGGCCCTGATAAGGTGTCGGCAGGCAGAGTTCACAGCAGGCCTTGATGCAGTCAGGGTGCGGGTGAAGGAGATCTACCAGATCATGGCGCCAGGTGGCGACGCTGACCTGGCGCCTGTTGACCCGTTTGACCCGTTCAGCCATGGCATTTGCTTCTCTGTGCGCCCGCCACAGCAGCAGTGCTGGAGGAGCGTTGCCGATCTCGATTAACGAGAAAAGGTGAGAGAAGACTCTCTGTCACATTCCTCTGCAAGACCATTTATTCCAACAGTGGGATGTGAATCTCACTGCTTCTCCCGCGTGCCTCTCTGTGCTGCATTGGACATTCTGAGAGGACATTCCATTTTAAACCACTACAAACCAGTGCTTCAGCCTTTACTCTCACCGACTCAAACCCTGCAATTTCTGCACTGCTGTGGCACAGCTGTTTGCCCTCTATTGCAACACGCCCATTTCTTCAATTTTCAAGGCGTCACTTGTCCCTCCCTGACCTCCTCACATTTCTCGCACCGCATCACATCACATCACATCACATCACATTGCATCGCATTGCATCACATCACATAACACCACACCACACCATACCACATCACACCACACCACTTCATATTGCATCACATCACATCACATCACATCACATCACATCACATCACACCGTATCACGTCAAACATCACAGGTGCTCAGCTCCCTGGCGTTGGTGGTGGCAGTCCACATGTGCAAGCCAGACTCGCCCCTGATTACCTTCAAACTTGATGCTTCTATGGGCACGTCTTGAAACCCTAAACTACTGGTACGATGTTCTGGTAGTTGATGAGAGGTGCTGGTAAGCGTTGTTAGGTGCTTCGGGGACTTGTCTTAAGTGCCTGCTACTACATGCATCATTGGTGTTGCAGACTGGCAGGGTACATTCTAGATTCCGCATCTCACCCACACTTTTTTCTTTTCACGGTCTCACCCTCTGTCCAATTTTGGCTGTAACCCTCTAGATTTTGCATCTCACCCTCTCTCTAACCTAAACCCCAACCCTTTAGATTTTGCATCTCACCTCTCTAACATTAACCCTAACCCTGTTTGCTACAGCCTTCAAGAACACGTCCATTCTGGCTGAATAGGTACATGGAGGAGCATGCTACTAAGTGCATGTGTGACCTTGCCCGGACCCAAACCCTGTTTCCTGTAGCCTTTAACACGTCCATTCTAGCTGAAATCATGGAGAGGCATGCTACAGCACAGGAGCACACCCATGATTTAGTCACTGCAGAAACAGCCCAAGGAGGGGAGTTTCGTTGCATATTCGCAGGGTGGAAGTAGCAATGGCACTCAATTGCCCACAGTACTGAAAGTCATGACTGACATAGTGGAAGAGTACACGAAGCAGCAGCACAGCAAGATCACTAAGAGCACTTCACATTTTATCCTTGTTGGAGGCACAGAGCGCATGTGGTGACAATAATTGACCAAGTATTCTAGTGAGATGAGGCAACAAGCCACTGAATATGAACCATCAGCTGTAACATACGCAAGGTGTCAACAGAGCCTGGCAAGAAAATGGGTGAGCGGCCCATAACTGTGCTCATCGACCTACACTAGGCTGTTGTAGAGGGGCTTCATGTGGTTGTGTGTAAGGTGCACAGGGGTTGCCGGAGAGGACAAGAGATCTGTCAGACATTGGGGGGAGTGATTATGGGGCCAAATAGACACAGAAACGAATCGAAAATGTGAAGTGTTTTTATGACAGACAGACACACATGTAGAGACATACCAGGTGCAGAAGAGATGCTTGTAGAGGAGATGCCGTGAGGTGGAGGTGAGGAGAGGCGGTTGTAAGGCAGGTGCTATGCAATGAGCATTTCTCTTGTGCGTTTTGCAATAAGTGTGTATAACCAGGCACTTGGATCGTGCTCCTAGTTTACGAATTCAGACACTCTGTTGAGGTGCGGTGAGGAGAAGCATTTGTAAGAGAGGTGTGGCATGCAGCAAGTGCGGATTTAGCGCTCGTGCCAGCTTCAAGCATCACTCACTGGAGGTGTGGAAGGGCGGACGTGAGGTGGAGGGCGGGAGAGGAGAGGCGGTTGTGGGAGAGGTCGAGATGGCGAAGGGTGGTGAGGGAGGAGAGCAATTCGGGGAGAGCCTCTAGGCTACGAAGGGAGAGGGGGGGAACGGGGGAAAGTGATCACACAGGAATGGCAGATGGCCGACATAAACCACCTTTTACGTGAGGCACGGTAAGCGACTGTTGAGGCCCCTCAAAAGAGTTCTCACCCGTTGTGAGCGAGAGAGAGGGAGGTGAGGCGTGGTAAGCGCGAGAGGGCCACTCCGAGGCGGCAGATGCAAGGCTCGGTGACCTGGAGGGGATGGGGGAGGAAAGGTGGGGAGGGGGCGAAGGGGGAAAAAAGGGAAGTTTCAAAGCCTGCAGCCCCCTTGATATTGCCATGTCGCCACATGGCCTACCCACCACATGCCTGCGTGAGGGAGGTGAGGCCGGGCACAGATGAGAGAGGGCCACTCACAGGCGAGACATGCAAGGCTCTGCGATGCGACCTGGGGGAGAGAGGAGGAGAGAGGAAAGGTGGGGAATGCAGGAGAGATAGAGAATACAAGGAGGGGAGGGAGAGAGCGGGCAGGATCGGCAGGGATCTTTCAGGCAGGGCTCAGTGACCTGGGTGAAATGGGGAAGGGCGGGAGGGTGCAAATATAGAGGGAGGTGGAAGGGTGAGGGGAGGGGAGGGGAGGATATAAGCCTGCAGGTTCTCTGCCACGTGGCTTCTAAGGAACACAGCTGATAACGCAGACGGTTAATATCAATAGCACACACGGATTATAACACACACGGTTTATAAGGCACACGTCAGAAGAAGGGAGGTGAGGCAGGGCAAACGGGAAAGAGCCACTTCGAGGCGACAAAAAAAGTCACCTCAGAGACTCAAGTTCACGGCGCATGAACCCAACACACCCACAAACACCTTTGGAACATGCAGACCTTTCCTTCTTACCTTATCTCACCCACATGACACATCTGCCTCACCTGGTTTTGAGACTTCTCAAAAGTCGCCCCACCTTATTGCATGCTTGCCTCTCCTTATCGCCCGCCCACCCTCCTCTCCTTATTGCTCGCCCGCCTGCCTCTCCTTGTCTCGCACCTGCCTCACCTACTCCCTCGCCCGCCTTTCATTGTCTCACAACCAGCCTCTGGGGGGACATGAGGTTGGTGCAGCGCAGATCGTCACTGCCCCTCCACCAAATGACCCATTAGCCCCACCTTCTGGCACCTCGCCCCACCTCGCCCCACCTTGCTTCACCTGGGGGCACATGAGGTTGGTGCATCGCAGATCGTGACTTGCAGTCAAGTCCAGATGCTGCCGCCATGCCACGTGGGAACAGGTGGGGGGCCAAGGGTGATGGAAAAATAGGATTAGAAGGAAGGGTGGAGACAGAATAGGAATGGGCTAGAAGGAATTGAAAGGGTTAGAAGCAACGGGAAGAAAACAGAGAAGCGGGGGAAGAAGAGATAACGCAGGGAGGAGGGGGAGAAAGATATGAGAGAGAGGAGGGAGGTGGGGGGGAGTGGGAGGGGGGAGGGAGGGGGAAGAATCGTGGGGGAGGGAGGAGAGAGAAGGATACATTGAGGGGAAAAGAAATGGCAAGAAGAGCTTGTTCTTTCGGGCACTCGAGGCTAGAAGTGTGAAGCATTGACTTCCCAAAACCATCTCCGTGCACCCGTTGCATTACTTCCCTCTCACTTCCCTCTTCTCACTGCTTCCCTCACCGCTCCCCTCTCACTGCTCCCCCCTGTCGCTCTCTTCGCTGCTCCCCTCATCGCCACAGATGACAGCCACACATGCCACAACCACGCGTTACTCGGTACCAACCTTCCACCTCCCGCGGCCACTCATATCAACAGTCGTCGCAATTCACAGGGCAGCAGATAGCGACTTCGCCGTCTCTTTGAACATCTCTTCGCCATCTCGTTGCCAACCTGCGCCTTGTCACCCCGCGAGTCACAGCGACCGTCAACGCTCGTCGCGCCCTCGGCCGCCTTTTGAGGCGCCTCAAAACTCACCACGCTAGCTGCTGCCCTGCGAGCTGCCACCATCGTGGACACATGCACCGGCCGCAACTCCACCTGATACTTCGCCAGCCGCTGCTGTCCCGCCAGCTGCGCCGGCTGCTGCTGCCTCGTGATCTGCCATCATGGTGGACGCGTGAACCGACCGGATTGGTAACACGAATGGACCATCCGCATCGAAACTCCATCTGATACCCCGCTGGCTGCTGCCCCGCCAACTGTGCCGGCTGCTGCGGCCCCGCTGGCTGCCACCATCGTGGACGCATGAACCTGCCGCATGGGAGCATCTGACGCCAAGTCACAAGCATGGACCAGCCACATTGAACTTGCTACCGTGCCAGCTGCTGCCCCGCCAGCTGCCGACGCGTCCGACACCAAGTCCACCGCCGGCTGCGGCCCCGCCAGCTGCCATCGTGGTGGACGTGGCACACACGCTTTCCCAGCCCGGGTGCACCATTTCAGACAATGACCTTATGTGGTCACACTTTCTGTATGACGAAGGCTCTATTGATGACGACCCCCAGCCCTTGACAAAAATGGCATCTCCTATTGAGCATGTCAATTGTGCCATTGAACTAACCGAGACGACTAATATGGACCTTACAATCACTCAAACCACTGCCATAGAAACACCTACTACCGTCACGAATATGACCGTGACAGCACCCACGAACAACAACGGAAGGAGGTCTCCAAGCAGAGCAACGTTGGACTAACAACGAGGTCCTGCTTCTTATGCAAAATCATCTAGACTTCCATGACGACGTCAGTGGGATGGAGGGAATGCAGGGTCAAAACATGTATGTTTTCTACATGAGCGAATGTTGCTGCGCGATCCTACATTTCGTCATGATGCTAATGCCATCCATATTAAATTACAAAGGATGCACTCTGAGTGGAATTTCTAATGAGATAGGCTTCAGATCTACGGAGGATCAGCAGTGCAGCTCCTGGCGTGGTATGATTTAATGGACTCGAAATGGGCTAATAGGCTACAAGCTGCGCCGACCTACACCCACGCCAGCACTACACCCGTCGCTCCAGCAAAACCCAGTGGAACATATTATGGTGTAAGACGCGCACATGATGAAGGTGAGTTCCACAAAATCATGACGACAAGTACACCTCAAATATTCGTTATCATTGAAAATAATATTGCGAATGCGTGTGGAGTTACAAAGACAATTTACCACTTCCCCTTCATCTCCCACCCTTGCTCCTAGAGTAGCTACCAATGCTCTTGCCCCTCGGATTGATCTTAACTCTTCAACCATAGAGTCTGGCGGTGAGTCCACCAATCACTGCCTATGTAATACCCCAATGGTTGCGGTCAGCCTAGGGAAAGACAACAGGCTCTTCTATTGGCCCTTCTATGTGTTGGTGCAATCCTACGGTTTGCATTCGGCTTGTTGTCCGTGTGCGTGCATGCGTGTGTGCATGGAATGGTATGAGGGCATGAGATAATATATATTTCATGCTTACAATAGTGTGTGAATGATGAGGCATGATTTTGAATGTGTGTGTCGAGTCAATAGCGAGTTATCGCTAGTCGCGTGTCACGTCGTCGTTTGCGTGTCGTGTGCGGTTTTCTATTTTGTCGTGTGTGGAACGTTCGGCGTGTTGCAGGTGTGCGCAGCAGACTTCCAAGAACTCAAGGAAGAATTTATCTTGAAGAACCAGAGCCTTGGTTTCAAGAATCAAGTGATTTCGAAGCTCTCCAAAAGGGTAAACTTTAAGATAGTGAGAATAGTTGCATTACTTTTTATAGTGTAACATTTCACTTGGTGTAGGCCCTTGTGGAGGGTAGTTTTGAGACCCTTCGGGGTTGGGGACAGTGTGGCACTGTTCCACATCACTGTATCTCGGCTCTTGGGGTTTGTAGGAGCTAGGAGTCATTCCCAACTCGTAACTCTTCCTAATTTGTGTTCTAAGTCTATAGTGGCTGCCATAGTGCCGTTCATTCAAACTGTGTGATTGCAATTGCCTATTATAGGCGACATCAAGACGCTCCAGATCCAACACTATCAACACTTGAAGCCGCAGTGCAGAAATCCAACAGTGCACTTTATCTTTCGTTTTAGGCACATTCAAGCCTATTGTGACTATAACAAGTGGTATCAGAGCCCCTTGGAGCAGTTTCGACAATGGCTGGACGTGAGGAAAGGGGTGGCAGAGGTGCTGGTGGCAGTGGAGAAGTCCAAGCTCAAGGCCAACCCTGTGATTCAGCCATGGCGCCCATGCAACCAAGTCTTGGCCCATCTAGGGATGAGCCTAGGGTGTTTGGGCTTGAGAAGTTCAACGGTGACAACTTTGCTGAATGGTCCTTCAAGATGGAGAACATCTTTGACCACTATGACCTGCTGGAGCTGATGGAAGGAACGGAGAAGCGCCCCGAGAACGACCCGGAGAAGAGCCCGTGGGTGCGGAAGAGCGCACAAGGCTATCTCCTACTTGGGCAAGCGTTGGGGAGCAGCCAGATCCGTCACATCAAGCCAATCCAGCGTGAACCAGAGAAGGGACCAAAGGCATGGGCTGCTCTCAAGGGTGTACACGCTCCTGCAACAGCGGCAGTAGCGGTGGTGTTGGAACGGCAAATGGCGGCACTACGAATTGAAGAAGATGAAGTGATTGAAGAAGGGGTGCAGAAATTCTTCGACTTGTTGACGCGGCTTGAGGGAGCTGATTTGAACTACAGTGAGCTCCAAAAGAAGACCAAGTTTCTGGCCTTACTCCCAGATTCATGGTCCTCGCTCATCATCAACCTCAATCGTGACTTGCCCCGGCTCTCGCTTGAAGACGGGAAGCGAGCGATCCTTCAAGAGGACTTCCGCCGCCGTGAGTTGGCGAGTGCGGATGGCGCTGGGGCAGCAAGCATCGGCCAAGGGTATGGCCATGGAAGGGGCAGAGGACGAGGGGGAGGCAGATTTGGCAGCAACAACTTCAATGGAGGCCGCGGGAGTGGCAGATATGGCAGCGACAACAAGAGCTACGGACGCGGTCGCGGCCGATTTGACGGCGAGTGCCACTATTGTCACAAGAGCGGACATATGTGGCGCGATTGCTACAAGCTCCCTGATGGATGGACTCCTTCTCAAGGCCAAGAGGGTAGAGGAGCAGGAGGACAGAGAGGAAGAGGCCGTGGAGGCCGTGGTGGTCGCGGAGGTGGTGCTGCACGTATGAAGAGTGCCGGCAACGAGAGCGAGTCGAGGGACGATCGCTTTCCGGGTCAATTCTTCTTCGTGTCCACGCAAGCACCGGCTGGTCCAGAGAAGGATGAAGGCTTTGAGGAGCCAGCAGCTGTGGGGAAGGTCACCCTACACTCCCTGGACTATTGGGTGATCGATAGCGGCGCTACCTATAGCATGACAACTCGTGCGGACTTGCTCACCGAACTTGAGCTGTCACCGGTGAAGCATGTGACATCGGCATTGGGGCAGTGAGCAGAGGTGAAAGGCATGGGCAAGGCCATGTTCAAGGGTGCTGATGGGAAGATTGTGGGCCTCAAGAACGTGCTTTGGGTGCCCAACCTTGCTGCCAACCTGATTTCCGTGCGGCGGTTGCAAAAGGCCGGCATGGACACGAGCTCGAAGGGAGCCAAGACCTACACCGCAAGGATTGGCGAGCGGATTCTATGGGACCTTCACAAGGATAGGGATGTCTTCAACGAAATGTGGCAGATCCCTGTGGTCCCAATGCCTAAGGAGAGGCAATTGGCAGCAAGCGTCAGCACCAAGGGTGAAGCGGTTGGTAGCGGCGATGGCGCGAAAGGTTGCGCTAAGGAGAACGAGTCCAAGAAGTGCAATCTTGGAGGGACCAGCAAGCAGTGTGAGCATAAGGAGAGTGGTGAAGCAGCCAAGGAGCAGCAAAAGGCTGAGGAGAACCCCGAGGAAGCAGCGGAGGAGGAGTACAGAGAGAGCATGTGGGGCACAATTGCGAGTGCGGCACTTTCCAATCCGACTTCGGCTACGGTGGAGTGTGATTGGCTCACTTTGCATCGGCGAATGGGGTTTGCCGCCCTGCCCATCTTGCACCAGCTAGTGAATAAAGGGATGGTTGCTGGCATATGTGTGAAGGGGGAGCTCGATGAGGTTCTTGGCTGCTCGACATGCATGCAAGCCAAGTTCACCCGTTTCCCGTTCTCTAGTTCGGAGGCAACGGCTAAGGCACCACTTGATGAGGTGGTGATGGACGTGGTGGGCCCTCTGAAACTTGGAGCTGCTGGAGCTGAGTACTTTCTCACCATTGTTGACGTCTACACTCAGATGACTTGGGTGTACGTGCTGTCCAAGAAGAATGACGTGGCTGAAACGGTGAAGACCGATTGGTTGCCGATGGTGGAACGGCAACAAGACCGGTTAGTGAAGGCAATTCGCACCGATCGAGAGGGAGATTTCATGAGCAAGGAGTTCTTATTGTGGCTGAAGAAGAATGGCATAAGGCACTCCCTTACCATGCCATACTCCCCTGCAATGAATGGCATCGCCGAGCGAGCGAACCGGACAATCATGGAGACGACGCGCGGGTTGCTCATTGAAGCCGGGCTACCCGACTACTTCTGGCCTGATGCGGTGTGGAGTGCGTGTGTGGCCAAGAACAGAGCCTTGACTCATGTGGGAGCAGAAAAATGGGTGCCCTTTGTGGAGTGGATTGGAAGCCAAAGGTGGATATGCTTCGGGTGTTCGGGTGCATGTGCATGGCGCTTGTGCCTAAGCATCTTCAGCACAACAAGCTCGGTGCCAAGGCGATATGGGCTGTGCACTTGGGCATGGCTCAAAACAGCAAGGGGTGGCTTCTTTGGGACCCATTTACCAAGAAATTCTTGGTGAGAAGGGACTGCAAATTCATGGAGAATCTGATGTACAAGGATTGGAAGGCGGAAAATGAGGTGAAGATAGTCGTGCAGTTTGGGGAGGTGAAGAGTTCCGGTTTGGAGCATGTGGAGCTGCCCTTGGAGCTGAGCAGCGGCAGCACCACCACAAGGCAATCTTCCCTTGTGAATGGGGGAGAAGAGGCCAAGGATGCAGAGGAAGAAGAAGAGGAGGTGCAGCAAGTGAGCGAGCGTGCACCGACACTTCCTTCTCGCACTACGAGTGCTCTACGGATCCGAGTCACCCCGCAGCAACGCCAAGGCCTTCATGTCCCTGCAGCTGAGGAGGAAGGAAGGGGCAAGAGCAGAATACAAGCCCCTAATAGGCTGACCTATGATGCATTGGGAAAGCCAGCCAAGTCAGCTCTGGCCGGAGCGGCACTTATAGTTGGAGATGACGAGGAGAGTGACTACGAGGAGTGTGCCTTCGCGTTCTTCTCTCCGGTGGAGATGT